TCTGTTTGTGCTGCGCAGTGCTGAGGATGGAATTGGGGCCCTCCCTCATCAGGGCCCTGTGCATGCTGGGTAAGTGCTCTGCCACTGAAAGGCAGCCCAGCCCCTTAAGCAACTTTTATTCTCCCATTAGCAAAGTAATGCTTGTTCACCGTAGAAGCACAAGGATGGGGCAGCGATCCTCCCACCTTTCTTTTGAAATTCTGGGGGTTGAAGCGAGGGCCTTCACCTGGAGCTCTAGCCCCAGCCTTTTTTTTTTTTTTTTTTTAAATTTTGGAACAGGATGTCATTAAGTTACTAAGTTCCTCAGGCTGGGCTCCAATTTGAGATCCTCTTGCCTTGGCCTCTCACAGTGCTGAGATTACAGGCATGTGCCGCCATCCCTGGCTGGTCCCCATCCCCACCTTGTTTCCTCACACCTCTGCCCTGGCTTCTCTGTGAACTGGGGTTCACCTGGACAGCTGATCTTTTTTCTTTTTTGTGGTACTAGGGTCTGAATTCAGGACATTGTGCCTGAGGCAGGCACTTAGTTATGCAGCTAAACTATCTCTCGGGCCCTGAATAGGTGATCTGATCTGAATACTGAAAACCACAGAATGAGAGGACCATGCCCTCAGGAAGTCTGTCAAGTCTTGAATTCTTTTTTTTTTCCAGACCTTGGACTGTCAAGTTTTGAATTCTTCTTCTTCTTCGTTTTGTTTTTGTTTTTGGTTTTTTTTGTGGAACTGGGGATTGAAGTCAGACCCTTGTGCTTACTGAGCCATCTCCCAGACCCCGTTTTGAATTCTTTTTTTTTTTTTTTTTCCTCCGAATGCCTTCAGGGCAGGTTTGGCTGGCTTGAGTTGTGGGGATGAACCACAGCAACCTGAGCCTGAGTGCTTTGTTGAAGCAGCCACTTAAAGAACTGAGCTAAGGGGAAGCCTCCCCCACCCACCTAAGTCTTGAATTCTGACAAACACGATTTTGAGCAGAGGACAATGAAACATTTTTCAGAAGATACCATAGGGCTGAGAGAAACAGAGAATTTGGACCTTTGTTTTTATTTTGGTACCAGGGATCAAACTGGGGACTTTGCACTTGCCAGGCAGGCGTTTATGCAGCTGAGCTATCTCCTGGGCTGGATGTTTGTGTTGGACTTCTGCAGGGCTGTTTCAGCATGACTGAGATAGAGGTTTCCTCACTCTCTGGCTCTGTGGTCTCAGGAAGTCACTTCATGTCCCCATGCCTTAGTTTCCACTTCTGGAAAATGGCATCAAGTGCTCCTGATTGAGGTTTATTATTTTTATTTTTAAATTATTATTATGGGGGCTGGTGAGATGGCTCAGTGGTCTAAGGCACCTACTTAGAACAAACTAAGCTAA